GCAGCGTGCTGCGGCAGGTTGGGACGCTGGGCCGGGCGGGGAGGAGCCCTGCTCCGGGGCTCGGCCTGCGGGTAGGGCACCAGCCCGGCTGTCCCCTGACGTGTCCTCCTGCCACCGCCTTGCAGATCGTCAACCTGATCGAGGAAACCGGCCACTTCAACGTCACCAACACCACCTTCGACTTCGACCTCTTCTCCCTGGACGAGACCACCGTGCGCAAGCTGCAGAGCTACCTGGAGGCCGTGGCCACATGACCCTGGGCGCCTCGCCGGGGGCCAGGCCGAGGGGGCCAGGCCAGCACCCAGCGTCCCCGCGGAGAGCCGTGCTCATGGAAGGCAGCCCCAGGCTTTGCTCCTGGAAGGGGAGAAGCCACCATGGCTGGGGGCCCCTCCCCCGTGGGGACTGTGCCCCGCTCTGCGGTGGGCTGTGTGACGGCTCACTGCCTGGCCTCTCTGAGCAGCCACACCGGCTGCCCCGACTGCCGAGCGCGTCTCCCGTCTCCAGCGGGCCAGAGACCGGGCGGCGCCTGTGCGTGGGGTCAGCTGGGCATCGCCCGTTCTCTCCCGCTCGGTGCAGACCTGACGCTGCGCCCGTCTGTGGGCGCTCCCCGCGAGGACTCGGCCACTCCCGTGCTGTGCGCGCACGCCGTCCGTGCCAAGCCGTCCCGGGGTGCGTTTCTTGACGTGCACGCGGCGGGGGTGGGGGGCGAGTCAGGTGGGACTTGTAGGTTAAGATGTCTCCGCGGTCTCCTCCGGCCTCCAAGCCAGGCGCGGCACGTGGTGCGGTCTCCCTCCGTGGCTCCAGGACGCGGCCACCTCCTGCGGGCCAGGGAGCACTACAGCACAGACTGCGCCACGCCCTGGGGCTCGCCCTCCCCCCTTGTTGATCAAGTCTTCGAACTTTGAACAAAACGAGCTTTTGCCAAATACGACGGGACAGGGACAGCGTGTGGAGTTTCCCGAGGCCGGCGCGCACCAGCCCTTGGGGCCGCCCCGCTCTCTCTGGTGCTGGCTGGGCCTCCGCCGCCATGTTCCCACTGGTGCCAAGTCTGCAGACGGAGCTCCCCGTCACACCTGACGCCCCCAAGGGCCGAGTGGTGCACCTCCCGCCGGCCACTCTTCCAGGGTTAGGAAGCCCTGGCGGAGTCGTCCGCCTTGCTGGGGCTCCCGGGGATGGAGGCCCCTCCAGCCAGCCCCACTCCGCCTCGACCTCAGAGCCCTGACCGGAAGTGGGGAGGCAGGACTGGGGCCGCGGGGTCCACCCTCCCCTGCCCTTTGTTGTCTCCTGCTCTTCGTTCACGAGCTCAGACGCGAGGGCCCTGGCCGCTGATCTCATCCTTGGTCTGATTCCGTCAGAGCAGCCTGAACACTCCCTGGGGGTTCCTGCCTCCGAGGCCCCCACTCCGCTCTCCTGGGGGACTTCCCAGGGCTCTCGGGGAGAGGCCCAAGGACTCTCCGACACCGTGTGACACCTGCTCCGTGTGCCCGGCCCCTCTGCCTTCAGGTGTCAGGAGGGGCCCGCCCCGCCCCTCCCTCAGGCCGGCCACCTATCCGCCATGGAGGGGCGCTTCTCTGCACAGCCTGAGACGGTGGACAGGAGGAACCGGCCTGGCGGGCGCTGG